TCAGCAGGACATTCTATCTATAATAAAAAACTAAATAAACCGTGAAGTGTATTTTATGCATAAATACATAACAAGCTTGTGTCACACAGTGCTCTCTTTGAAAGCAGGGGAAGTCTGCTCAGTGTATTGGGACTGGGAAAGGTATTTTTATTCTTTCTGAAATATATGAGAAAACAAGAAATACCAGATGAACTAAATCAAAATCTTTACAGGAGATTTATCTGTTCTTCTGGCAAGCTGTTTACTTTTCCATGAGAGAATCTGAGTTAGATGTCCCTGTGGAGCCCCAAAGTTGCTGTAAATTCAATTGTATTAAATGTCACTTGAGAGATGGTGTTTACACCCTTGATGAGTTTGTGTCATTGTTTTAAAGATAAACTTCTACTTCGCAGTAATAAACTTCTCTCTGTGTGATATAGTATTCAAGGATTAGCCAGCAGAGTTGAAGCTGATGGATTTTTTAAATTTTTTTTTTCAGTTTCCATGCTTTTGGTGCTTTACTGCTGGAAACAAGGCATAAAATGAGATTAGTTCCAAGGCAGTCCAGTGCTGTTTGTGAGGCTAGTTCTGTCTCCAGAATTTCCTTGGATACTGCAACTTTCTCTTGACTTCAGTGCTGTCACAGAAAGTCCTGTGCTTCCGGGTGTCACGTGTGACAGAATCCGTTTCTGGATCCTGCAATGGTGTACCAGTGCTGCTTCACTACGTAGCTGAAAGTCTTCCCTGTTGCATAGAGAAGCTTAGCACAGAATTAAGATGGCTTTATAGTTCACCTGTGCCTTCCAGACACTGGTCTCCTCTGGAAGCCAGGATTTTCACCAGAACAATTCGGAAAGACCTCCCCAAACAGCTGCAACTGTGTTATCTCCTTAATTCTGTGTATTTCTGTCCACTCCCATGCACTTGTTTGTCTTCAGTTATACACCCCAAGATGTATTTGTCTTAAACATCTAGCTGGCTTTGCAGTCCTGGTGCTAAGTTACAGTGGTGGATCTATCCTGACTCAAATTATTCCTGTTCTAGACAAAAAGGAATGTTGAATCTGTATGTGAGAGACTTCACTGGTATCACTTTAGATATCTGTTCCTATAAACTTCCTTCTGGCAAGCCACTTAAACCTAGACTCTTCCTACTAATTTGAGATCCACGTGAGTAATCTTCTGTAGTTAAACTTGTGCAAGGTGCACAGATGAGCCTGGAGGCAAGAATTTTCTGGTTGCACTTACGGGACTTTGCACAATGAGTCCTACATTTGTTTTCACTGAGTGAATGGGAGCAACAGCCACGTGAAAAGTTTGCTTTCCTATGGATTAGGGTCTCACTGACCATTGACTTTTGCCTGCTAGGAGCTGCAAGGTTTCCCTGCAGTTGTCTCTTGTCTAATACTTTGATGTGAGCTCATGTTTCAGCCTTTTTCCTAGTCATGGTAAGAATTAATTTTCTCATTCTTTTTCAGTTGTTGTTTTGCATAAATGTCTAGCACTTAAATCTCTTGAATTCTTTTTCTCCTTTGTAAAATTTGTTTGAAATCACAGTAGACTTAGAAGGTATTGCAACCAGGACACAAAGGCAGATGCTCAGGTGGTTTAATCTTAACAATTTATTATAAAATAAATATTATCACTCCTTTTGGCTTCTGTGTTGTTTTATTTGGAAGGCATTTAGCTCCTCTGAATTAATAATCTAATGGTCATTAATATTCAGAGGAAGAATGTTTTCATATGTCTTCTTTTTATCTTAACCACCCTATCAAATTTCTTCTCTGAGGTTTGGACCACATCTCTATGTTATAGTTCTTGCCCTGTGGTAATACCTTGGTGAAATAAAAAAAAACAGAACTGGGAATAATATTTTGACTCTACACAGTTCCAGATGCTTAACGTGATAAGATATCATCTTCATGGGTTTATTTTGGGTATACTGAAGCACAGTAATGCCCAACAGCTTTAAAATGTTTCCATGGTTATATAATTTTAAAAAATAGGGCTTCAAATGTGAATTTTATATTCCACAAATTTGGTCATTGTTGATTTTAAAGTACATAAGATCATCCACAAATAAGAGGCCTTTAGAGAATCAGGCTGCTTAGGAACAAGTGGTGGACAGTTTTGGAGAACTTCTCTTTCTCCTTGGCATGTTCTTATGATAATTCAAACATTAGATAATTTATAACCCTGCTGGTACTATACCAGAGAACTTATGTGATGGAATTTATATCACTTTTCCTTTTAGACATTTAAACCACATGTCATTCTAGAAAAACGAGGACCAAGGTCCAACAAAGGAGTGATTTATTTCCAGTTAAAATACTAGCTACATTAAAACCACATGTTATTAAGTACTGTATAACCAAACCATGCTCAGAAGTAGGCTTACGACACCAAAGAGTGCTTAAAATATTTCTATTTTTTCCCCAAAAAACGTTGGCAATGCATACATTAACAGACTTACCTGAGCTGCACAGTACATTGCCTGTAATTTTCCCTTGATGAAAGTATCAGAGTACCAATTAATTAAATTCCTTATTATTTTTCTCACCTTTCCAGAGAGTTGAACTTTTCTGTCCCTTTTAGATAACATTGCATCTCTGTGAATATCCCTCCTGGAACAGTATAATACATTAATGCTTTTAAGACAGAAACATAGTTTTTCAAAGTGAAACTAATTGTATTTTGGGCATTTTACCAACAAGAACTCACATAATGCTCCTGTATGAAGAGTAAACTAATGCACAGAAGTAGTGCACATGAAGGGAAATCAAGATGAAGATTAGAATTAAGGGGCCCCAATTTTCTTTTCAGGATGCAGATGTTGAGGGCCAGTTTCTGTCCTCATTATGCTACACTTCCAGACCAGATTGCCTGAGACTTGAAGAGAATTTTTATGCTAATGTCAAAATATGCTGGTGTCAAATGGGGACATGGAAGTGGTCTTACTTCACTGTTCAGATACTGTGCAACGTGCAACTTGCATGAACTAGAAAGCCTGTACTTATGCTTTCTAAGAACTGCATATAAAATTATGAATCACCACAAGACCCCTGTCTCACAGGTAATAGCTGAGCAGTTTTAGCCCCAGGAAGGAACTAGCCAGTAACTGTCAATTGTCTTTCAACAAGGCAAGGATCAGAAGAATCAAATTTATCTGCTGGTATGCTCGAGAGCATTCTAATTCAGATGTTACAGTCACATCTTGAAATCATTAATACTACCTTAAGTTTGCCTGGTATTCTACTTTGAACTGAAATTGCTTAGCTGGAGCAGATTCTGAACTATTGCTTCTGCATCAGCAACATGCTAAAATCTTTAGCAGCTTTAAACAGAAAAAGGTATATGGTATGTGTCTTTTCTCACTCTTTGGCTGTCTAATTGAAATGTGTAGTATATATGTACAAGGCAATATAATATATTAAACTATAGAAACTCTACTGAGTTAAAGTTGTATAGTTTGCTAACTTGTCTGGGATGTAGACCAGTATGAAGTAACACAGGAGATGGTACAAGAAACCACACCATGGACAAAAATAAGAACCATGTGGTAGTAGGCTTGGACTTGTACCACATCTAAATCATAAACTAAATTTTAGCATAATATGAATTAAGCATGTCTAAAATTATTATTGATTCACCTCCCTAACAAGCCCCTCTGCTGTGTAGTATAGTTTAATTTATGTTTATTACCAGCCTGGTGAGCACATCTGTAATCATAACAGATTGCTGCCTGACTGAACTACGAGGCATGCAAACTCACAGTAGGAAATATAAAGCACCTATACTGCTGCCTCCTTTGCCTTTCCTGAAGCTCGAGAAAGCTAGTGCAGCAACCAGCACTGAAACAGTGTTGTAGGGCACAAAGTGGCAGGTATGGCAATGTTAAATTGATAGGAGAAGCCCATTCTGGGTTTCTGCCCTTTAGCAGCAGCTGGGGCAGTCTCTCTCCATCTCATCTCCCAGTTTTGTCCTTCCATGCTGTGCTTTACTTTGAGGTCTCTTGGCTTTGAGGTGGCAAAAACTCAGCAAAAAAAATGTTACTATCGTGCAGGTGATTGAGGTGAATGAAAACAATGTTGCTTAGAAGTTATTGTTTTGAATTGGGTTTGTTTCCTAAAAAAAATGCATCTGGTTGTATATTTTTCCTGATTATAATTCCAGTTCTCTTTCTGTGGGTCTCAGAGCCTCTTCCTTTCTCTTATCTTAGGTTATCACATATCTTTGCTTTGTATTGCATCATCCAACTGATTTGTCTTCTCCCTCTCTCTAGATATTTCCAGATGTGTGGCTGAGAGGAAGTACACCCAGGAACAAGCTCGCAAAGAATTTCAACAAGTGTTTATCCCAGAATGCAATGATGATGGCACATATAGTCAGGTTGAAAACTTTTCATTCAGTATCTTGCATGACCAGAAAGTCAGAATAGATGTGTTTGCAGGGGATGAAGAAGGGACTAATGTATTGAAGGAAATGTAATTTCAAAATGAAATGTCGTTTATGCTAACATTGATGTTAAAAAATGGAAGGAAAATTCATGTTTTGTGCCGAGTCCCCATTCTTTTTTTTCAGAATTGGCCAGCAAAAGAGCCAAACATTACTGCTGTACATGTGATACACTCCCTGTTCTTCTAGGCTGCGGCAGCTGAGTCATTCTTGTAGCCCCCTGAATACACATCAGATGGTAAAATGCTTGGAATTTCTGATCTGTTCCTGATCCCAACCAGAAATCTTGTGAGCAGAGTCCATATCTTAATACTAAAGCATGAATCATATGGGATTCTTCCCTATTCTCAGCTGAATTTCTGCACAAGCATATGGTCTTGAGACATATTTCCTTAGGTTAGGTCATTGAATTCAGAAGGGACACGGTAGCTTATCCTGTGATATATATCCCAGTCAAGATCACCTTCTGCTGCCTCTGCACTGCATTTTAGTTGCAGAGGAGTGTAGAAGACAATCCTCATTTTTAGCATTGCAAGGGAAGTGATATTGGCCCTCAGGAAATACAATGCAATTGATTTCTAACAGGAATTCCAAGAGTTTCCTTTCTGACAGCTTGGGATATGAATAATGCTGGCAGAAGCACTCTGTCCTGCTCCTTCAGTGGGTGGAACAATATGTTCTCTATGTGGAAAAAAACTTGATATTTTTGGTTTCAGGAACAGTTTTTGTCCCTTGAGGATCTTCACTGTGAGGTTTTCATAACACCTGCACCTCACTTTACTGAAATAGGGAGTAAACAACCACATATTTCAATAGTTTTCTCTTCCATTGGATGCTGAAGGACCTACCACACTTTGCTTGAAATAAACTCTTCATTATGAAGAATCGTATGTAAGGCTGATATTAGGCCCATTATGTTTTATTCTAACTTTTGCTAATGTTGTTCACTGGATTAGTCTTTAGTACTCGTGTCACGAACACTGAGCGATAACCGACATATGTCTGACAAACTGCATTTCTTTCATATTATTTCTAACAGGTTCAGTGCCACAGTTACACTGGATACTGCTGGTGTGTCACTCCCAATGGTCGTCCTATCAGTGGAACTGCTGTGGCCCACAAAACTCCCCGGTGCCCAGGTAAGGCTTGTGTGGCTTGTGTGGCTGGCCAGGTTATGGCATTGTCTCTTTGCTGGAAGAGTGGTTCAGCTCAGAAACAGATGGTGGCAGAAGCTGTGGACTCCCCATCCTTGAGCACTTGCAAAATTCAACTCAACGAGTCTCTGAGAAAGTTGGTCTAGCTTATTAAGCTGGCCCTGTGTGTATTCTGAGATGTCTGCAGTCCTTAACCTTCCTGTAATTCTGTGGTCTGCTTACTTTATTTGTATTATGAGGCAGCCATTGAAGGATTTTCTGCAGTGGTTATTTGCATGATATTTATGTGTCAGTATATGAAAACATGCAACTGACTTGCTGAGGTAGTCCCTTCTTTATGTTGAAACTCTCTCACAAGTAAACCCATTAAAAAAAAAATCAGAGGGCTTTGCCTTTTTGATATTTAAAAATTTAGAGCATAGAAAAAAACCCCACCCATCAAAAAATATGGACAGTGGGTATCTCAATTTGTAACATAGCCAAATGAAAGAAGACTCACAGCAAATCTGATAAATAAGCAAACTGGAATGAGAAAGAAAAATGAAATCAAGCATCAAGAACATAATGGAATCATTGTCTGTATAAATAAATTGGCAAATCAAATATATTGCCACATGTACTGCTCTTTGTCTTTCATCAGGACAATTAACAGGTTAACTGTTTTTTATTAATTTACTTCTGATCCTATTTTACTGACATTGATAATAAATATATATGTCCAGTGTATGAACAGTTACTGAAATTGCTATTCATCTTCTTTGAGGGTGACAGAATTGCATGGAAATACTTGAGCTGTATGTATTGCATTTATGTTTGTGCTGCAGTACCATTCTTTGTCAGAGAGTGGAAGAAATAGCTTAAAAAAAGCTAACCCTGTAACACAAATGAAGCTGAAAAAAAATTGATTAGAGTCTTTGAGGGCATTCACCTGATCTAATCTACTTCAGTTGTTCAAGCACAATATTAATGCTTTCAATAAATAAATGGAGGGAGGAAGAGAACACTGAGGAAGTTTCATCAAAGAATATAAAAACTCCACTTTCAGGTTTGTCTTGTTTAAATAATTTGCAGAATCTTTCATGCATCTTGCCTGTAGCTGAGCTTTAGCCAGAAATGACTTTTCAGACTAATCCTTTTGATTAAGTCTGTAAAATCACTGTGAGATGACAGTCAATTTGAAAAATACTTTAAAATGTTCAGTTAAGAAGCATTAAGATAAAGAAAACTCTGCATTCATTTACATGTAATTATTATTTATAACTGGATCACATCTTCAGAAGACATATGGTTAGGATAGCATTTGTGTGCTTCAGTGTATTCTTGAACAGAGATGCTTTTGCATGTCCAGAGCCAGGGTTTCCCTAAAAGTGTCCCTTCGTTGCTTTTTCTGCAATATCCATGTGTTGCTTCCTCTCTTTCACTGACATTGGTGAAAAAGGGGTTATCCTGGTGCTGAAAATTCAAGAAATAATTGTTTGGCAGATGTGTCACATCCTATGGCATTAGGTTTGACTCAAAATGTTCCTGAGTTAGTTACAGTACTTTCACTTTTTTTTCTTTTTTTTTTTTTTTTTTTTTTTTTCCTTTTTCAACAGTGTTATGAAAGTATAAAATCCCTCCTGCACTCTTCTTACCTGACCTACATATATATATATATTCCTCCTCTGCTCCCACTCCCAGTTGCCAACTTACTGTTTTCTCCTGAAGTCATAGACAAAAGCTAAGCAGAGTAATTTTAAATACTGAGATTTATTTCTCATATACAGCATACTTATTTTTTTTTTTTTTTTTTTTTTTTTTTTTGGTATTTGTGTTCAGTATTATCAAGGAGAAACTTCAGTGTAGTTCTAGGTTAATGAATGGACTAGTGTGAGAATTATTCTGTCTCTATAGGAACCCAACCCTAGTTCTTCTCCAAGGTATATTCATATGCCTAGCAGGTAAACTGCCAGACTGCTTCAGCTCATTTTTAAGGCATGGGGAGGGAAGTTCCCTTCATGGAAATGCTAAGGAGAGGGTGAGAGTAGCATTCATTTTTTGATTTAGTAGCTCAGAGATAAATGGACTGCTCCCATGCCTGGGTGAGTATGCTTAGTCTGATTTTGCTCCATGGCAGATCAAGGGTAATTTTCCAATTGTTGAGACCGTTTGGGATTATCTTTGCACATTTCTTCCCTATCTTGTATCAGTGCTCTCATGTTTTGCTGCTCACCACTTCTCCTTTGTCCTTCAGGAAAGAAGCCCATCTTCAGAGTTTGGAAGTAGATTTGAAGTTCTAGAGGATTTTGCAGTAGTAGTGGCTAAGGGCTCAGTTTTGATGTCTGGAGAAACCTCCTCATTCAGCAGAGAAGGCATCTACAGATTTTCTCAGGAAGTTATGTAGTTTAATACAGCAAAACTTTGCTTGTACATTGCAGATGAAAGCTTGAAGCACAACTGCACCTTTCTTCCATTTCCCAGTATATGTTAAAAATTGCCATCCGTTTAGGATAACAGAGATGATTTTTTCCCCTAGGACTGCTGATGTTTTCCAGATCACTGCTGATTCTGTTTTAGACATTTTCTTTAGTACCACTATGCACAGGAATTAAACCCAAAATATTAGTGGGCGCACTGAAGTTAAGTATACCCCTCTCTTAACTAGCATCTCAGAGATGCCATTTCTTCCAACACTACTGGGTCTCATCAGCCTGATACACTGTGTGCTCAATATTCTCACTGCAGGCATTGCCTTGCTACTTTTTGACGTTGCAGACAGATCTCCTGCAACAGTGGCATCCTGACATCAGCATGTTTCTGTATTTTCACTTGCTTCTGTGCATTCCGCAGGCATGATGCTATAGCCATTTCAATACATTCATGCAAACTTCTCAGTTTGCATGTGACAGATCTTTTTATCCCAGGACAACTTTTGTCACCTTTTCCCTTTAGAGCATTCTAGATGGCAATCTAGACAATCTAGATGGCAATTTAGACAATCAAGATGGCAGGTAGAGTTGTGAATATGCTTTTGTGATTATTTTCTCCTTTAAATGGGACACTATAGAATGTGTGTAAATCTTTTTTTTTTAATGTAAATGTTCAGTGTTTAATTTAATTTCTAGATGAGTCCTTTAGTAACTTCAGATAAGCTATGAATACATGTCTAATCAACTGTGCTGTTCCAAAATTATGGGATAATTTCTTGTCTTTTGTTTTCCCCCAATGGAACCATCTTTGACTTGGGTGAATATCCAGAAATAGGAAAGAGGAGCATATCAGAACTTGGATTTTAATAAGAGGAAATGTGGAACAGAATTTAGTATGGACAGTTAGGAGTTCAGTTTCTCAATTCAATTCCCTATCTGTGCTTTGCGTTTACATTATCACAATATTAGACAGGTCCAACAAGCAACCTCTATGTTTATCTAACTCTTAATATTGGTTAACTGCAAAGCGTGATGCTTCCTAAAGTGATCTCAGGTCCTGGGATGGAAAAGTGTCACGTGATTGTTTTCTTATGTATCTACAATAGCTTTATGAGCAATTTTGTGCTCATTGTGGTGTTCCAATTGCTCTTATTGAGACTGTTTTATTTACTAGAGACACTAAATATGGAAAGACGGAGGTTATAAACAGCATTTAAAAAATGCAGGACTCTCCAACTGATTTATGTAAAACCTTTGCTTCATTTACTACATCCTTACCTGAAAGAGGCTCTTTTTCCATCTTTTCCAGTTATTCCCACACCAACACTTGGTGCTGCTAAAACACACATGATAAATCTCAGAATGCCATTCCACTCCATGGAAATAGTCTCCACTGTTGAAGGAGCAGTGGTGAGAAGGAGAGTAAATCAAACATTCCCATGGCAGCATTAAAAATAAAGTTTCTTAAAAATGATGAATGTCCCCCAATACCTTCAGTAAAGAACACCAGGCATCGGAAAGACATTTTTACAACTTCCCATCTCTCTTATCAGTACTGCAGGGAACTGCACAAATTTCACAGTCACGGAGTCCTGGGAAATGGGGCAGAAATAGAGAAGCAGGTGTTAAATTATCATTGGAAAATACATTGTTCCCCTATTGTAGGGTTTTTATGCCATATTAACTCTTCTGGGCTTCTGCCAGGGAGGTTGCAAACGTATGAACACGTATTTTATTATTCTGTGAAGTACTTTTGCTTCCTTGAAGTTAAGATGCCTTGATACTATTTTAAAATAGAAGTACTTTTAAAAATTCAGTACTTTTCCTGTTTGTATAGTATTGTAATCAGTTAATATGAAGAAGACTAATATATTTGGGAAGGCAATGAGCTTCTAAAATTTGTATTTCATTGCTTTTGTTAGCTGAGTAAAATATCCATCCTTGGATTATCTATTTCTTCTATCCCAATGCATATGACTTTCCTTATATATACAGAATCAGACACACACAGCTGTGAAATATATAACAGCATGGGAAGTTTTCTGTCCTGTTTCTTGATATCTGTATTCAGTGATTACTTATCAAATAGTCTTTACCAGGAGATCAGAAATCATTGTCTGAACTGGATAGAAGACTTTGACCTTCTCTTTTGAAGCCCAGTCACACATTATCAAAACTATAGAAAATGAATATGATACATCACAAGCTACAAAACTCACATCAAGTTCCCTGGAAGATTTATTGTGCCTCAGAACTTGTTAAGACAGCAGCTTAGCAGAATTGTGGGTTTTGCAATAAACTTAGATAAAAATATTTCTGCAATCTCTTTTTTAGTTTGTCAGAATCAGAAATGTCTAGATGGCTAAGGAAATGTATAAATTAAAATGTTACTAAATTTTTCTTGTTAAAATAATGTTGCTGAATCTAATACCCCTTCTTGCTCTTTCACCTTTCATAAATATATTTATGTGATTTTTTTATTTATAGTGCACTGAAAACTTGGAAGCTGATTGTTTTGCCTAACTTTTAGATAAGTTGATCTTTCTGTTTCTTACCTAGCTGAAGATGTGAGCATTTGTTGGGGGTTTAGAAGATTAAATTTCCTAGAAACTTGCAGATTCAACTTTGTATCACCATTTAAGCTAGAAGTATTTCTTCCTCTGAAATATATTCAGAAAATGGTAGGAAAAACTAATATAAACTTAATAATCCTGCTCACCTCCAATTGGAAACAATGAAAGTTTCTACTGCATCAATTCAAAATTTCAGGTGAAACTATGTGAAAGGTGCAGATTTCCCCATGTAGGAAAATCTGTGAATATTTTTGTTAGCTTCTTAAGACTATTCAAAAAATAGTAACCTGATTGTCCTAGTATTAATCTACTTTTGTCATGAAAATATATTCACTATCATAAAGTTAGCCAGTGAAAATGCCACTGTGTTCCTCCATCCATCAATTTACCATCAGTATTTAAGGAAAAATAAAGCAAGGTATAGTAAACAAACAAACAAATAAATAAATCAAGAAAATTAAGGCAACCAAAATATTTCACACATTTATGAGCATCTGTCAGATACGGTTGACTTTTCATTAAAATAGGTGTGTGTGAGAAGAGACAATGTGGTAAGTGATAGATACGCTTTTTAATTTTTAACTCCATGTGGCTCTTCAGAGAGAAACATACCACTTTTAAGTGTGTTTTTTTAATGCAACAGAGATAGATAGGTTGTTAAGAAGTGGCTCGGATTTAGAATCATACAGATGGTTGTAATAATGAGACATAAGCAAGAAATAATGAAGTATTTCTGTTTTAAACTGTAAGGACAACTACCTCCTGTAAAAACCACAAAGGAAACCAGTAGATATTTTGTTTCTTGATAGCTTGAGATCAAGACTGGATGTTGGTTGCATTTCAGTCCAGGTTGGTAGAACAAGCTGTTAAAAACTGTCTTCTGCAAACATCTTAACCCCTTTCCCACCACTGTTGTCTTTTTTTCCTAATGGCCACAGCTCTGAGGACATCTCCTGAACCAGCTCAGGCTCAAACTCAAAGCAATACACTGTCCCTGCCTTCCCCAATGCACATACTTTCCCACACCAGTACAGGGTTTTTGGAGTGCCTTGTATGAATTAGTTAAATCAGAAAGGGGCAGTTTTTAATCTGAGCCAGGACAGGGGTAGAGGCTGAGGAAGCCCCTCAGAGCAGCTGAGGTGTGTGGGCAAGACCCTATGTGAAGGTGGGTTCTGCCCTGTGTGAGGAATATCAAGGGAGTAGTGCTGGGGAGATGAGTCTTAGTCTAGGTCCTGCCCTCACTGGGTCAGTGGGGAAGGGAAACATTGGCTGTGCAATATATGAGCATGTTCTTATTAATGATGTTCATGTAGCACGAAATGCTATCCCTTTCTCAGGTCTGCTGGTGGCCAAGTAGTGCCTGACATTAAACTGATGGTACACAAATGCACAAGTCAGGCAAAGCTAAATCTCTGGTTTGCAAGGGAAGAATTTTCTGATATTTTTTGATGTAATAAACATAAATAAAACATTAAAGCTGAACTGTGTTTCTTATAAAACATATTAAAAGTGAAAATAATATTATTCTGGGTTATTTGTTTTCCAATCGCAGGTTCAGTGAGTGAGAAACTGCCACAACGAGAAGGTGCGGGAAAAGCAGGTAAATACCTCAGTAGGCCTTTAAGTGGAAACTGAAATAGTTCTGGGATAAACTGATGTGTTATTCTGTAGGTTTAAATTATCAATATATATGGATCATGATTATATATGCATATGTAATATATATACATGCATACACACTGTTAATTTCATCTGCATTGTAATTATTAGTAAACTTATGAGTTTAAATGTGTATGTATGTATGCATGTATTTGTCTATATATGCATAGTCATTACATTTTTCCAGCCTCATCCCTACAGACTTTGCTGTTCTGTGTTGTTTGGAAAGTAACTTTTCTTTCCATATCTATACTTTGAAATATTTTCCCATACTGTTTGCTTGCCCTGGAGGACAGATTATTCTGTCTGTTTGATAAAGACAGCATTCTGCAGTCCTAAAATCTGGGGAACTGGAGTCCTCACTTTATTTCCATAGCAATCAGTGCATGAGTGATCTTGGACCCTGCACTTTGCTCTGTAATGTGGTGAATTCATCTGATGGCTTACATTCATGGTCAGCTGATTGTTGTTATTAGAGATACATCATGGTGTATATCTTGTTGGCAGGACAAAATCTGATGCAACTCCAACATAGCTGGTAGATTTAAATGAGAGAGATGTCTGTGCTTTAGACAAAATTGAAATCTAGGCTCCCCAAACACTTAAGAAAAATTAAATGCAGCTGAAAATACCATACTAAATATTGCTGTCAGTTACAGTTGTACGAATTAATTTTAAAAACCTTACTCATATCAGTGCTAATTTTAATGAATGTTTGGTCCACTGTAAATATAATTGATTTTTTTTTTTTTTTACAGGAACTTTTGTAGCATTGGTTTAAATCAAGATTTAAATAAACTATTGCACTGTTAGGTTTTAGAAAATCAGTACTACTACTTAAAGGGTAATAGTTACAAATTATTCGAAAATTGTTTCTTCATGTGTTTCCACACAAACTGCGTTTTGCTGACCTTAAGTTACCAATCTGCTTTTGCCCAGGACTTTCGTTTTCAGCTTTGAACTGAATGAGCTATCCCATATATAAAACTTGTTAAGAATCCTTTATTTTTGTTTGTGACTGTGGTGACTGAGCTGCT